GAGGACAATGAAAGAGTATAAATAAATTTCGGAAAACGAAAAAATTGCGAAAATCGTTCTAACAGTCGTTAATGGACGAGGAGGGATAATTTCGAGGAGGAGGAGGGTTTTGTTGGAGAAGCGACAACGTCAATTTGCCACTCGTTAACGAAGGATCGTTCTCGTTTGGCCGACAATGAGGGATATGAGAATACGATTGAGGGTAAATAGTGTTGGTTGACTGCGGTTGGGTCGATTGGATCGTTGGATAATGAGCACGCAGTGGTGACGATGCTTTTGCTGATTCCAGAAGAACGTTCGATGCGCTCGTTGACGGATGGAAGAGGCTCTTCTCGCTTGCTTTATAATAACGTTAACGAAATTGAACGATGGAGGACTTGAACCTCGACGAGTGATCGTTTAATCGGGCTAGTGAAATCTTGATCACATTCATATCGAGTATTGGATTATTTTGGATATTGTTTCGAAAAAAAAAAAAAAGATTTTACTTACTAAAATTAACGATTGATCCATTGGAAAATTCAATAGAAAAGAATAATAATAATAATAATTCGAAAAAAGCGATTGGATAAACTTGAGAGATATTTGGAAAATAAATTTAATAATACATCGTCGAGTTGATGAAAATAAGGATAAAATTAATGATAGATTGGGAAAATAACGGCCCGTCGTTAACCGGGTGTCTGATCTAAAAGGCCGTTGCACGTGGACCGGCGCTTCGAGGAGTTGTTCCGGAAAGTTGGAAGCTCTGCTAACTTTACGAGGACGGCTAACGATCGTAAAGTTCGCGCTAGCCGAGGGAAATGGAAAATGCATAAGCCAGTAAATCTTGGCCGACTTTATTTCCAGAGACAGCTGAACGTCCAAGGCTACCAGTGCAGCGCCGATCTGCGTTACGTGTTGTTTAAGCACAATGTCAAACCGGTGAGTAACGAAAGAATGATTCTCGTCATCTTGGTTAAAATGATTGCATTAAATGGTGAAGAAGAAAAGATATACGACTCGATCGAAATTTTAACTTTAAAATTATATTGTATAAGAATTGCAAAATCGGCTCCTCTTTTATTCTTATTCCATTCTATTTAATCATTTACATTTGTATCACAGAAATATAAATGTAACGAAACGAGTTCGAAATCGATTTAATTTTTTAATATTCGTTGAATTCGTAACGCGACATGTGTATACCACGAAAATTTCTTATTCTATCGCAGCTGACGCGCACGCGATTGGGTCATGAATATTTCCAAATATCCGACTTTTTGTCAACACATGTTCACTACAAGTGTCGTCGTCGTTATGCACAACCATTTTATGCATTTTTCACGATCGAACCACTTTTGATTTATAATTATTGACAAGAAAATTTTCTCCTTAAAATAACAAAATCTCCATTCGTTTTCAGGTGTACAGGAATACCTTCACCGCTTACTACACAGTCTACGACGTCACGAACGAGTAAGCAAGCTTTCCAACCCCTTTTCTCCCGAATTTCACGTAATAATTCCGCTTCTGCTTCATCATCTTTCTTCTCCAGCCACCACACGCCTCTCCGTCTGCACACATCGCGGGGGATGCAGCAAACGCGGCTGCAACACGCCGCCTGGTTGGGCAACACGTCCGGCATCCTGATGATATCCGAGAACGACATCTACGTGAGGATAGCGCCCTCGGCGGCAGAGGACGCGAGGATAACCGACACAGGTTTACCCGGGGTGATTTACAACGGGGTGCCGGACTGGTTGTATCAGGAGGAGGTGTTGCCGCGGCCGGAAGCAGCCTGGCCTAGCTCCGACGGGACGCACCTCCTCTTCGCCTCGTTCAACGACACCAAGGTCACTGCCCTGGAATTCCCTTGGTTCAGCACGCAGCCGGGTCAGGATGGGCCGAGCTCCAGCCCCCTGTTCACGCCTAGGAGAGGCTCCTTCCCGCCCTCGAGGTCCGTCAGATACCCCACTCCCGGCTCGCCAAATCCAGAGGTCGAATTGTGGATCATGGAGCTCGGCAACTTGACCAACTCGATCAACGGAACAGCGAACTCGACCATCCTCTCCAGGATAAGGTTGAAACCGCCAACCGCTTTGGACGGACAGTAAGTCCCGAAATATCCTCAACAAGTATCTTCTTATTAACAAGTATCTTTGTTTTCTTCTCCAACAATTTATTTCTTATTTCTGTCTCAAATATATACTTTCTTCCGATTTGATCAGATTTTCGAAAAATGAATAAAGTTTTAATTTAAAGATCGGATCAGTCGATGTTCCCTCTCTCACAGGGAATATTATCTGATATCCGCGGGTTGGGTGGGCGACGACTCGACCCAGGTGGC